GATTTTCTCTCATAGTAACTAGGTTAGAAATTAACTTTTGAACAAGCGAGTCCAACCCTCAAAAATAGTGAGTTCGTAGCAAAATGAGGTAGTCGGCAGTCTGAAGTTCAAAACTAAAGATATTAACAATAACGCATGTGCCATAAAAGATTCATGGGGTTGTACGTCTGCCCAATTTTCTTTGGACATTTGCTGAAAAAATGCGGCAATTCCGCGAGACCGTGCTCTGGAATAAACTAGTTAGTATAGCAGAATTTTCAGGGAGTCACACGGACTCCTGCGTATGTCAAATCAGGGAGTCCGACAGTAAATCGGGGAGTATTTGACTCCGGACTCACGTTAATTTCGCACCCTGTAGGAAATCCATTGAAATAGCCCCGCTAAAGTCGTCATTTATACGCCGCCATTATGTGCAAGTCGTCGCCCTCAGTAATTTCCCATCTGTAAGTCGTCATGAGAAATACTGATGGCGTAGTGTGCGGTCTAGGGGATATGCGAGCTGGCTGTCGCAGATATGCACTTAGGTCGAACCGACGATCACCCGTAGATCGCGCAACTGAGTTTACTTTACATGAGTTGTTGCTGTGTGCACTAATTGTTTCATTTGCATTGTTCGCTTGGACGCATTGTGTTTTTTTCAGCTCGTGTGGAAATAGCTAGTCACGTCGCAAAAGTAGTTCATGTAGTTGTAGATATAAAGCCTGGTGAAATATGAGCTTGACACTCTCCAAATCGTCGAAATACTGGCTTTGTAAGGTGTCAAAATGATGATATACGCGCATAAGTCGTCATTTGGGCGACTTACATATAAATAGACAAAATGATGACTTACGCGTGCGGTACATGTTGTCATTTTCGTAAGTCGGCACAAATATTCTGGTGTTGACTGATGCGAGTTTTACTGTATATATATATATATACATGTCACTTTATTTGTATTACTGAGGTTTTACTAGTATATTGTATGTACCAGTCCAAATTTTGGTGATTGAATCATAAAAACCAGTCTTTACCATTTTTTTATATTTTATTTTATTTAATTCCAAGCTACGGTTCTTAACTTTTATCGAGTTTTCCAAAAATCAGTGTTGACAAAACATTTCTAATTCGAAAATAATCGCTGATATCACCCCAAATCATTATTACCAATTAGAGTTCCAGCAGGAATATGCACGTAACACGATGTGGCGCCACTGTACATCCAGTAACACAAAAATCAGCACAGTGTCGTGTTGTGATATATTCTTAGTTTATGGTATCACTCAACATGCCAGCATTATTATGTTGTAGTCTCAGTATGGCTCCAAACTTTAGCATTGAATTTTATGTTGTTGGGACATATGGGTTTGATGAACAAGTCCTTACCTACCATTCTATGTAGTAAGTCAGAGTCAGTTACTAGTTAATCAAGTTAAATGCATTTGATCCAGCATTTTATTATCTTTAGTAGGTACATGTAAGTGCCAGGGCCAAAACTGATTTGTGATACGCACAGTATCATCAGTATCATATTTCTTAACACATAGAATTTTTCGCAGTCAGCATAATTATCAAAAATATTAAATGCGTAATCTGGGTTACAGAAAGGTTGACCTGAGTCCACTTTAACAATTTCATTTTTAGCTCACCTTGACATTGTCAAGCTGAGCTATTGCCATGGGTTGTCGTCCGTCGTACGTCCGTCCGTCCGTCCGTCCGTCTGTCTGTCCGTCAACATTTGGCTACGGTCAACGATAACTCAGGAACCGTTTGGCCCACATGTTTGAAATTGGGTATAGTTGTTACTGCTATGCTCCCATATTAAACGTCCTATTTTGTTGGAGCATGCCAGTCGACGTACTTTCGAGCCACGGCAATTTTTTGGCAAAAATGGGAATTGCCATTAGTCAGTTCAGGTTCAACGGATTCTGCTCATTTTTGGTATGTGAATGAATAAGGGCTAGGGGTTTTTATATTTAAAAAAAAAATATGCAAATTAGGTAGGGTTTGGCAATTATATAGCATATTATATAGACACAAACAGTCTGTGGTGTCACACTCGTCTGGTTCGTTTTACAAGATTTCATTGACAATATCTTTAATGCAAAATTGGTATTTCCTCTCCACCCTGCCGATAAAACGTCTATATTAGAGTAAATATTTACAAAACATGTCGGAACGCAGCATAACCTATTTATTTCAAACGCCATCGCTACAAAGCGGGTATAGCGCCATCTACGGTCACAAATTGTGATTCATTTTGGTTTATAAATTATTATTGCGATATACAGATGGCAATCATTTCTATAATGTACGTCGATGGTTGCTCAATTAAAACTGACTTCTTCTTACTCACTCATTTGTGTCCTTTTTTGTGGTGAGCTACAGTGTCATTGACACTTTCATTTATTTATTTGTGATATGTTACAGTAGTTTTAGAATATGATGAATGTGAGAAATATTTCCTTAATCCTTATTGCAGACGTACGTCTTGTTTTGGACATTCCTCTATGGCATGGTACACGTTTATTAATGATACATTGTGTGACAGCAAGTGATTACTCTCTAGAGGAATCATCAAGAGAAAATGACATCACCCTGAATTAGTCATCTTGTATCAACACGGCAGGACAGTGGCGTGTCTTTACCAATGAACCATTTTTGACAGCTGGTCACTGCTTAAAAAGATCTATTGACAGGATAGCCAATAGTGGAGAACTGGAGACACCCTATAACTGTCTCTGTAAACCTCGCATAAGTTTGGTCGCATGTAACATGTTCTCACTAAGAAATAACACAGGTCGTTGAACAGAAAATAGATGTGGAGCATTTGTAGTAATTAAAAGCATAAAAGTATTAGGCATCTTATTGGTAGTGGCCAATGCAGACGTCGTGAGTTGGAGCTGTCAGTCATATTCTTCACCATGCTCTTAAATATCAAATGTACATGACTTTTTTTATGTGAGCGATGATTATCGGTGGAGTGTGCCCTAATTGTGCTGGTTACATCAATTTTGTTCATCATAATTACGCCTACAGCACTTAATCGGCATGACAGAAATTTAGAATGGTTTACATTTTTACAATTGATTAAATTGGTTGTCATTGTAAGTGTTCCTTTCTCAACTAAAGTGAAGCGGCTGATCGGAGTGTTTGTAATGCGATGTGGATGTGCACTCACATGACTCGCCCAGATCTTCTTACTAGGTGCCTACACCTTTCTTCAGACGTAGTGTTTGGATTTCTGCTGTTTAACTGTTGTCTTGCAGCTCTAATGCTTCTAGTTCAGGACGAAATGCATTCCAAGTCGGGCGAAAGTGGGAATAGTTGGCTGTCAGCTAAAAATGCACTGTTCTTTTATCGGGTTCATGTCATTTCTTGTCATTGTCAGGGCACAGTTATGTATGATGCAATGAATTACATATGCGTTTAATACACAATTACTGGTAAATTTAAATTCGCGTATGTAAAGTGTATGAGAAATGTTTGATAAAGAATTTGTCCTTGTATATTGTGAATGTAATTTGTACTGTGGGTATATTACTGTGTCTCTCTCGTCTTTTTATAGCCAAAATGGGGTTATATACTACATCAAGTTGAACAAATACACAGGAACACGTATAATTATGAATTCACAAGGTCAATATACGTTCGCATATTATATGTCGTTTGTGATATCTATCTATGTATATATATATATATGCGTGTGTGCGTGCGTGCGTGCGTGCGTGCGTGCGTGCGTTTGTGTGAACTAAATTAACTTGATTCTGGGGAAATTAGGTTAAAATAATGATATGTAAATACAGAACACATTGTATTCAGTAAAACCTCACATGATGCAGAAACGAAAAGTATGTAAAATTGGTGATAAGCTGTGTTGTTTGCAGACGGTGGCTGAAACGTCGAATGTCAACAAAAATTATTATCGAGTGCAGCGGTATGGATTTGTCTCGAAGAATAGCAAAGATTCGGTCATCCTAGCTCCTTGTGAAATCTAGCTAGTAAAAGAAGCTCGTTGGAACCCTATATGAAACTGAGAGAAGCAGCGTGAGACAGCACTGCTATACACCTCTGTGATTGGTACTGACCTAAATCTCTAGGTGTCTACATGCTGTACGTTAAGCCCCCAACAAATGCAACACAATTGCCTCTTTTAGACTAAAAAATCAAGTAGCTGTTCAAATAACTGAATATAATAATGGCCATTGATGTTCAAGATGTAAATCGGACAAACCTGTCGTGTATAATTTGCGCGTTCTTGCCAGCTGAAATGATTCGCTCCTGGCTGGTCTACGTGCTATCGGCATTTAGCTTGCGCAAATATTGAAGCTAATCGGAGAGAAAGTTTGTTGTGTAATTTTAATTTATTTTAATTACGTGACACAACACACTGCAACGTTGGCCTTTCCGACCTTGACATGAATAACGTCACATACTTAGCACATAACTTGCCACGCATATTTTTTTGTTAAATTTTGTTTATATCTGCTTGTATCGGATCGCTTGAACAGTTTAACTTTTTTTTTTTTAATTGTTTTATTTTTGAAAATTGATTGGGAATGACGGAACCGTTCCTATATTAACTATATACGAACGAAGCAAACGGTAACGTCCTGTGAAAATTGGGTGGAGGTAATGCGTGCTTGCCCAACGCATGCTGTCATTTTTGCGATACGACCTAACATTTGCTCGACCAAACAATTCGAGCTGGAAAACTGTAATCTAAACTCGCGTGATTCAACCATGTCACATGCGCATACATCACCGTAAGTCGGACCGACCAACCACAGTAGCTTCTTACCCTCGTAAATCGATCATGACCACCTGTTTGAATTGCGGTTTTCGCCGAGTGTAAAGTTGTAATTGCAATCCTACTTATCGCGCTGTCACACCTCCGTATGAAAGCATGCTCAAAATTTTCCGACGTACTCGCCGTACTACGACGTATACCAGCGTGCTTCAGCGTGCTCTTAACTTATACAAAGCTTATACAAAGCTTACCCATAACTTATTCGACGTACGCCAGCGTATTCACCAAATTTTGCATACGTCGGTATACGCTGGCTTTCATACGGAGGTGTGACAGCGCCATTAGAGACGCGGGCAGCCACCGCCCATCTCCTTCCGATTGCCCTTAACACCTTCCGACAGTATGACTTGCGTGTGCCTATTATGTACGGCTAGCGAGAATTTTCGAATCGCTGCGCTCTATAATCATTTGTTCGAAGCGAAAAGAAGGGGGTCGGGACACGTAAATCTGTTAGAGCTACTAGCCGTGACAGGATAAATAACGTCTCGTATCACGCGACAGCTGTATTAACGCCTTCTACGCGTGTACGCGCGCATATATAGTAACCCCTGATCGTCTGCAGTTCGCGCTGTTTCCGTCGTTTACTTCGTAAATATATGCGGCTAGGTTTGCTCCAAATAGTAATAGGGCAGATATCGCACCAAGCAGTTACATAAAGGCTGGTTGCTGCTATGTGATTTCTATGCCAGTCTTCATGCAGGTTTACTGGATATTTCGTTTTGCAATGCGTGTTTTTGGAGCGCGCGTTTTTCGCGGAGTCTATCTTCTAATTTGCTGTAATAATGCGGTATCTTTCTCAATTTGCCTTCCAGCTTTCCTCTCCTTATATTCTCTCGCTCACGCGCTCCCTCCCTATCCCTCTCACACGCACTGGACCCTATTTCCCTCCGTTTCTTTCGCCCTCTCTCGCCACAGGCACTTGGAACGTCTCAATGGGAAAAATAATGTAAACACGAAATGTATTTACTATACCAAAGTCTTAATGTTTCTCTACTCTGTATAGCCTATTATTGCCGATAATTACCCGTAAATGCCAGTCAAATGCTCATCTGCAACACACAAGTACACCGCACGCGTGCACAAACAGCATGAATAATACCTTCTTCTTTTTTTTTAATTGAGACGTTCCAAGTGCCTGCGGCCCGCCCCTCTTGATATATTCCTGCTCTTCCACCGTATCTCCATCGCTGCCTGCTTGTCTGCCCGCTTATGTGCCTATCTGTCTATCTGTCTGTGTGTTTATCTGTTCGTCCGGCCGTCCCTCTGTCTGACTGACTGACTATCCAGAGAGACATGATACAAGATTGCGTGGCACAGCATTGCTGTTGATCCTGAGCGCTGCGCGCCGAGGAGACGCGCAGTTCCGCGGGATATGCGCACGCGACCGCGGAGATGTTCAAGTATGAAGCGCTGTCCGCAGTGGAGACATGCGCCAAATTCGAGGCCCGGTGGCGAATTTGCGATTCCCAAACCGTATAGCTTTGGAAAAAAAATTGAGCAACGTGATTGGCTAGAAAATTATTTAGGACACGCATTATTAGTCAACAAGCTAATATATTAAGTTATAAGCTAATATTATAAAGAAATATATTTAATTCAGAACATAAACAAATGTTACAGAACAAATAAATGCAGAAACAAATAAAATACAAAGAAATACATAACGCAGAGGAAAATAAAAACACCATATGGCGTTCGAACGCCGTACCTTACGATCACGAAGCAAACGCTCTGGCGTTGACCGACTAAGACAGATACTAAATTCGTGGATATAGAAATCTGTTAACCCTAACCCTAACCTTAACCATAACCCTAACCCGAATCCTAACCCTAACCCTAACCCTAACCCTAACCCTAATTCTAAAATAAAACAAAATTAGCCAAAAATAATAAGAAATAAAATAAATAAGCCCCTGTGCAAAATGCGCGATGGTGCGCGTGCGATAGTGGGCGTGTCCTAAACATTTCTAGCCAATCACGTTGCTCAATTTTTCTTCCAAAGCTATACGGTTTGAGAATCGCAAATTTGCGGCCCGGTGCACGTCTCCACAGCGGTTAGCGGATGGTCTGTAGTTTTAGAAGATAACAATGAAGACTTTGTTCTAAATAAGTACTATCGGCGGCTAAATAAGAGCAATTATACACCTTTGAATTTCTTGACTAGTCAGTCAAAGGGCTTGTTGGTGGTCGATTATGCAGAGCTTCCAATTGAAATGGCCCATGAAATTGTCAAGTGGAATTGTGTTTTTCGGAACCCCAAAGAAAATGTACCCCCTCTTTGATCAATCACGCATTCAGGCGTAAACAATAATAGAGATGAAATTGTGTTGAGTTTGTGGCTCTTGACGCACGTGCATTGCCGTACAAGACCGTTGAAAGCACAGGCACTTGGAACGTCTCAATAAAAATAAATATTCACACAATTTTTCACAATGATTCACCGCCTGTGTGCCTATAAATTAGGTGAACGTATGTGAAACATACGGTTAGTACTTACTGTGACATATCGGTGACTAACTGACACCACTAAATTGGTAAAATGTTCCATGCACATTAAGAAATTCTGAGAAATTACGAGGTTATCATCACCCAGGTTTTCAGACGTACAAGTTTTAAAAGTGAGGAAATCACGAGCGGTAAATAAAAATTCCTATAAAGTTACGCCGCCGTCTTCTTTTGCTGACTCGTAGTCGTAGTTTATTGGATGAGGCTGGACGGTTACGCAATTTTGACAGTGACGTCATTCCAACCTCTGTCGTGCAGTGTGCTGTGTTTTTCTGAAATGTTCAATGAATGACGCACTCGTTCACTTCCGACAGTGAGTGAAAATGCGGAAAATTTTTCTTCTTTGATGCGAAATGCATCGGCCGGGCATTTCATTATTTACGAAAAGTAAACAGGCTGGCGAAAGACAGTAGGTACAGGAACTGGTGACGTCGGTGACGCCCCATTCATGCCCATCAACGAAGAAGGCGGGGCTTATTCTGATTATGGAGATGCCAACATGCAACAGAAGGACGTAGCGCAGTGCGCTAAACAGCGTGTTATTTTCGTATTTGTGCCAAACTCTATCGTAGGAAACCGTTCTAGCCTAGCAGAATGCCCCAGTTCTTGAGATCGGCGATTTGGTACCCCAATGGGTCCCATCTTTAAAAATATCAGAGTCTGGTGCGGCGTAGGCTGTGATTGGAAGACACAAAGTGTCAATCCTCGGCGCGCCTCGGCATCATGGCCGCATCACGTCTAGCTTGCTGTCCGTCTGTCTGTTTGTTTGTCTGTCTCTGGTTATTCGCCTACCTGCCTGTGTGTGTACGTGCGTGTGTGGGTGCGTGTGTGTATGTATGTTTTAATGCATGTCTAACACCACACACAACTCACGAACATAACAACAACACACACACACACACACACCACACACACACACACATAACCAACACCCACGAACACAACACACAGAACAAACACAACCATGGCACACACAAGCACACACACGACACACCGTACGCACGGCACGACGTAATCACGAGCACCGACACACACACACACACACATATATTATAATATATATATACTGCATACATAACTATATAGATAGTATGGGTATATATATGTCATGGTAAATATATATATTACGACACTGTATGGCTTAGAAGAGCAATGTGGTGGGAGAGGACTGATACTCGCAGCCATTGCGTGTCTAGTGTATAC